AACCGGCTTCCAGTTCGCCATCAACCTATAATATATCAGATACAAAATCCACAGTGTTAAAAATACTACATAACTAAAATAAAGGTACATTTCTTAAATGATATAAGCAGCTGCTTTGTGGGGGTGGGGGTAAAAATGTAGGAGTGGAATGAAGTAGCTCAGCTTATAAATTCCGGGAGCCTACATTTGCTAAACAAGGTCAGAAGTCTTTGATAGCTGGGCTGGGCTGCAAGCCCTGATCCATCTGCCATTTTTGCAATGAAGTCATGAGGTTTTCTGTTCCGTTGTCGAACATGTTGCCAAGAATCCAACAGATGATTTCATTCCACAATGAAGGAGGAAAACTGAAGTGAAGTGAGTCTATTAAGCACTTTCATCTGACAATAAAAATGAGTTAATGGCTAAAATGTGTTTTCAAAACGTTTTAACACTACAAGTAATGGCACTCAAGTGGGAAAATGCCTGAATATTCTCATCGATCATTAATACCACGGTGTCCCTCAAAAGGGCTTGGCATCCTCTGTGGAATACAGGCTGCTAGATTCCAATTGTAAGCCAATCCATGGCAATTCTCAAAAAAAAAAAAAACCTACCAAGAGACCATTATGGAATTGAACGATTAAGTTCAGGTTTAAAATAGCTCTTTCAATATGTATCTCGGTTCAGTTTTCTAAAATAGACTATTACCTCATCATCACTAACTTTCCCATAAACGTTAATATGGAGACAGCAAAAAGTATCCAAGAAATCAGATTCATTTTCAGGGAATGAAAGTCAGTGTGTCCCCCTAGTTTCAAATGCCAGTGAGTATGGAAGCAATCAAAAATCAAAGCGGGGCTGAGTTTTGGGCCAGCCCACCGCTGGGAAGTCATTACGGAATTTGTTCCCTTTCACTTTCAAAATCCAGAACATGCTTATGAGGGAAACTGCTAGAAAAGTCTGCTTCTCACCTAGGAGGCTGACAGTCTCAGCCCACCCAGGCCACTTCTACCCAATTCCAAAGGGAAGGAGACCCCGGAGACACAAGTGCTTGCCTTGGAAACGGCGTTCACTACTGTGTAAAGTGGGGCAGGTGGCACCACCTCACTTGGAGCGAGGGGTTGGGCCTGCTTCCCTGTCCCTGCTCACCCCTCTCCCTGTTCCTCCTCAAGTCTCTCCCTTCTCCCCCTGACTTTCATGTGCTGGTCTCCGCATTCTTTCTTCTTACCATTTCTCACCCTCTCTGGCAAGACGCATGTGACTTCAACTCTGCCCATATGCTGACCAACCGTTGGGCCCACACTGGAGCTCTGTCTCCAGCTCCAGGCCCACAAATGTAAGTGGAGATCCCAAAGGCACAGAAACCCTCACTTTCTGCCCTCCTTAAATCTCCTCCTCCTCCCTAGTCCAGTGGTGAGTGTCATCACCCAAGTGCATAAGCCCCAAATCTGAGCATCATCTGAGGTTTCCCTGCCTGCTTTACCCTTTATGTCCATTCTCCCATCAAACTTTCAGTTTAACTTCCCTCCTCGGGATTCCCTCCTCTGGCCCCCCTCCAGGCTTCCTTCTCTCCCCCAGTCCATGTCCTCATCTCTCTCTCCTCCCAATACTCCTACACTGGATACTGGAGGCCCTCAGATTACCCACCAGTTTCTGGACATGTTACAGGAAATACCGTGCATAAAACAAGCACTAGTGAATTAAATCTCTATTTCTGTTATCTACTAACAGAAATGGGGGAAAAAAAAAAGGGAAAAGGAAAAACAGCACTTTCTCTTTATCTCTCTGCCTGGCTTTCATTTCCTGGGCAACTGTCTGATGCATTTGCTCTTTAAGTATCTATCTCTGCTTGCAGAGTTTTCTGTCCGGTGGTCAAAAACAACCCAGCAGGCTGTGGCTCGGGGAAGTGAGGCACTAGTGAAAAGAGTCCTTCTGGGAGGTGAAAGCCCCTGCAGGATCCCACGGCCCCAGGGCCATGGACTGACTTGGTCTCTAAATTAAGGTTTCTAGGTGCTGAGATTTTTTCACACTAGGGCCCACCTGGGTACCTAAAGAATCTTTGGAATTACATGTCCAAACATCTAGGGAATTATTGCTTAGGTCAAATTTATTTTGAGAGTGGGGGATGTCAACAATAAGTACAAAAAACTATTAAATCCAACAAAAGCCAATTCATTTACTAAAAACCTGAAGAATCTGAGGCCAAGAGAAGTTGGCATGCTCTGTGAAATCTCCAGCAGCAAGAATATCCAAAGTACCAAAACCTGTCTTGACATCTCAGAGATAGGTGTGTCTCTCCCTTTGTTTCTAGTTTCTGAGCAAATCAAGGCAGACTTCACTGCAAACAAAATCAATGATTTAAAATGTAAGCCCTGGCTTGAACCCCAAGCAAGCTGTGAAGATCATCAGCCTAAGGCTGGGACAACAATGGTGGCAGAGGTGAGAGTGGCAGCGCGGTGGGAGGCAGGTTTGTCATGCAGGATGTCTGGGGGGCTGCACAGGAGAGAGACTGGAGCATGGAGGGATGGGACATGGAGGGATGGGACATAGAGAGATGGGACATGGAG